CCAGGCAGGATCAGCCCAACATCTTTCCCGGGACATCCTTGCAGGAAGCCATATATATATATATATTTATATATACATATATTTTAAGATTTTTAGGCATTTTTTTTGCAGTGTTCCCACGAGCCATTGGTGGTTGGGGAGCAGCCACGTGCACCCGAGTTTGCTTCGCGTGTGCCGCCGCGGCTGGTGCCGTTTTTCTCTGCTGTCCCCATCTTGGCACCGCAGGAGGTGACAATTTGCACACCCCACCCCACCCCCGACACACGGGGGATGAGGGTATTTGGGGGTGAGAGTTGGCGTTCACACCGGTGGCGTTGGGGTCACTGTTGGGTTGGGGGGGGGGTCAAGGTCAGCGCTGGGGTTAGGATGGGGACACGCACCGAGGCCAGGGATGTGTCACACAGCAGCCTGGTTCCAGCTGTCCCCCACACCGAGAAGAGAAACTGAGGCACGGGGGCAGTTGCCATTGAGTTGTCCCACCTCACATCAAGGGATGACCATCCCACAGAGGGTATCGATACCCACCCACCTCGTAACGACCCCCCTCGGGGGCCAGGATGGTCCCCAGCACCCTGCAGGATGCGGCCCCAGTCCCACTACATCCCAGCCCGGCCGCATCCTGCCCCACTGCATCCCATGGGATGGAGTGTGGGGTGACAGTCCCCTCGCCTAGCTGATCACCATCCCCGCTCAGTGATTTGGGGACAGGGGACACTGCCCTCTGTGGCTGTTTAATGACCATTCAAGAACAGGGATTATTTGGGCCAAATTAATGCAAAAAGGCCTTTTTAGGGGGGGGTGGGGGAGGGAGACCCGTCTATCCCGCTGCATCCCCAACAATGAAAATCCTCCATCATTTTTTTTTTTTACTGGATCTGGTCTCTGGAGGGTTTGGGGTGCTTGGTGTCCCCTTCCATGTCTTTTTTGCTATCGAGGTAACACTGTTAGGGCAGATGGGGGGGGTCTGTCCACCCCCTGGGGAGGGTCACGGATGCAGGCAAAGCCCCATGTGTGTCCCCTGGGACCCCGGTGACACTGGAGGTTATCCCATATTGGACAGCCTGGGACATGGATATCCCATATTGGAGACCCCAAACTTGGGCAGGGGATGATGAGAACTTGGGAAATGGGGGCAGAGAAGGGGACGAAAAGGGCATCTTGGATGTTTTTCCAACAAAACCCCACTTTTCATGGGGTGTTTTTAACCCATATTTGCTGTGACCCCCAACGCAGCATCGGTGTCTCTGTGCAGTGGGATGTCGGGGTCCCACACGGGGAAAAGGGGGTGTTCGGGATGCGGTGTCACCTCCCTACCCCTGGCACCACGTTCCTCGCACCTTGGGGGCCCCCATCAGCTGCTGCCACCCCCGATGGGACAGGAGCTACCAAGGGATTAGGAACGGGCCGGGTTCCAACGGGGCCGTCGCTCGCCCGCGACACCCCCCCCCACCACCACCCACCCCCGGGGGTATTTTTAGCGGGGTGGCCGGGTACAGTGACACCGCCGGGGGAGCGCGGCCGGGCCCGGTGGCATGTCACCAGCCCTCCCCGCCAAGCCAAACCGGTCATCTAAGTTTACTCGCAGGCGGTCGAGTGACATAACCAGGTTGGTGGCCGCGGGATGGCGGTGGGATGGCGTCACCTTTTGCTTTTAGAGCGGGCAGCTCCTGTGCCCCCTTAACCCTTCGGAGCGGGGAAGGGTGCTGCCTCAGTTTCCCCAGTTGGTTGATGGTGAGGTGATGGTGCACAGTACCCAGGGTGGGGTGCTGCTGGCTCGGAGGGGGGAGGGGGGCGTCTCACAAAGGACATCACGCCATGGTGAGGGTGATGTCCACCATGATTCACCCCCATGAGCTGGTGGTACCATCTCAGAGATGCTCCACCGGCATCCGCAGCCCGAATCCAGGCGTTGCTGTGTGGAGGAAGGTCGGAAATTCTTTTGGGAGGGGGAAAAAAATCATGCAGAGGCTGCTCACAGAATCACAGACTGGTCAGGGTTGGAAGGGACCTCTGGAGATCATCCAGTGCCACCCCCTGCCAGAGCAGGGGCACCTCCAGCAGTTGCACAGGACGGCATCCAGGCGGGTTTGGAATGGCTCCAGAGTGGGAGACTCCCCCACCT